AAAATTTGATTTCCATCTAAACCATGTGTCAGCCATCATGAAAAAGTGCACACACTTCAACCTCTTTTAATAACATTAGCAACTGGTTGTAGAAGAATTTCTGTGCTTATTGGATTAGCTTGCCGCAAATTGTATTTTTTTGAACAAAAAAATTGGATGTTGCAAGATAGGCGTTATGCGAGTGAATCCATTTTCATACCAAATATATGGAAAGTTTTTTAAAATATATTTAAATCAATTTAATATTTGAACGTATAGGGATGAATTGAACTACCCGGATTATGTTATGTTTAAATTACGTACATACGTTTAAGGAAGCATGTTCTCCAAAAATGTCCATTTTGAAAAAGATATGGCAGGTGGTTGAAATGGTATTTTATCTCCCTATGAGAGTCTGGAAGGAAGATCTTTTGATGCAAGTCCTCCATTTAGAACTAGATGGTAACTTGGGTGTTTTTTATTTGACAAATTGCCGTATTGATACTTAATTGTATTTTAGCTTCCATTTTCACTATTAATTTATTGTACGAGAAGCCAGCTCCAGATACCATATCCATGATACTCTGTACTAGACTGCTTTTTTATGTTTTAGTACATGTTATTATATCTTTGTAATTATGGCTCCAAATAAATCTTATTATTATATCGTGACAAAGCGTATATATTATACTTATGGAAACTTTCAGGAAAATCCTATATCCATTTCCTTTTTTTAGTTGAAACTAAATCCGCTCACGTATTAGTGGAAATTAAGATAAAAACGCCACAAGGGAGTGCAATGCATTTTCCGCCGCGAGTTCACTTTAAACTTTTAAATGCGGTTAATCATGCAACTATGCATACCACAAATAAAGAAGCAACTGTGAAAAAATCTCCAGAGGATTGTGGAATGGTCTCGCCAAATGCATTATCTGTGAGTTATGGTAGGAATTATCCAGTTGTAACCATGAACATTTCCTTTTTCCCTGTAAAGCCTTGCCTCATAGTGCAGTAAATAAAAATGGTGTTTAGTAGATTGACTCGGTACCATTCATATGTTTGGAAATCCTCTATTTCCAAAATGTTGATACCTCAACATTTTTTAACTATGCTCAAAGATTTTCAAACAATCGTCAGCCATAGAAAAACGTAGTTAGGTAAAAATATTAAACATTTTTGATTTTCTTTCCGTCTCCATTGTATCGCTTATAAAAATTGAGGTAGCATCATTGACTGTAAGATAAAAAAAGCCAATAAACGGACAATTCAACGAAAACGGACTACGTAGAATGAGCAAATCCGCGATTTGTTTTGATCTATGAAGTCGAAGTTAGTTACTCATGATGCAAGTCGATCAGGCTTAACCGCCACTTTGACAATTGTTAACAATCTGTATTAAATTCGTATTTTATTTTTTGCGAAAACGCATAAATGTGCGTTTCGTACATGCAAATATCACTGGACAACAAATTTTAGTTTTTTAATTGTATCTTGTGGGAAAAGTGCACTTCTGTGTTAATTTTGGGGCGCTGAATCCAAAAATGACAATGAAATAAAAAAATTATTTGCGATTTAGAAAAAAAACTTTTTATTTTTAAGGATATATTAAAAAAAGTAACAAGATTCATATACTTATAAGAATCACTATATGCGCTGTCTTTTTGCTGTTCTTTTATGGATCGTTTCTGGAGCATCTCTACCAAGAGTCCAACAGTAGTCTGCAAGCATGGAAGGATTCCACTTTCCCTGGTACCTTTTTTCCATTGTTGAAATACCCTGATGAAAACGTTCGCCGTGCTCATCACTTACGGCTCCGCAATTGTCAGGAAAAAAGTCCAGGTGTGAGTGTAGGAAATGTATCTTAAGAGACATATTACAGACCATCTTTTGATACGATGACAGCATATTTTTGACAAAGATTTTATAGTTGTCAGCTTTTCTATTTCCCAAGAAATTAGTGACCACCAGACGGAAATCATTCCAAGCAGTTTTTCAATACCTGTTAAAGTGTTTTCAAACTGTGTATCTTTCAAAATATTTCGAATCTGTGGCCCAACAAAAATACCTTCTTTAACCTTTGCCTCACTTAGTCATGATTTTTTTTTCTTGGACATACCTGTGGCTTGTCCAACACAAGGTACCATGCAAAAGTAACAATCATTAATATGATTTGTAGGCTCTCTCCAAACCATTGGGACAGCAAAGCGCATAGACCGTTTTTTGCCATTTAACCAGCTCCTCAGACTTGAAGCACATGTATTACAGCAGATGTGGGGTGCCCACTGTTTGTCTTGATCACCTAGTTTACAACCGAAATAAAGCTGATATGCCTTTGTTATTAGTGGAGTAATAGACCGTCTCTGAGACGCAAAAGTCACATCACCACGCACGTAACAAAACTGATCTGGATTGTTTACACACTTTCGAGACATCTTGCATGAACGCTGTCAGCCAACTGAGGAAAAAATGGCTAATATAAAACAATATAATGTACACGTATGTATAACGTAACACAATCATGCCGATTACATCATCTTTCCTTGCCGAATATAAAAATGTAGCACGTGCATTCTTGTGAATTACAGTATATTAACACTGTCACAGCAGGAACACATATAATTACCGTATCTCTAAAACTTGAACTAATATTGAAAAAATAAGTTTCATTCCGGTTTTAGCACATTAAAAATAGTAATATTTTGTTGATTTTATTTAGGAATTTTTTTGGCTGTTGATCAGTGTATTCCCTAAACCACTAATTTGTGGAGTCGAAACCATTCCCAAAACTACCTTTATTTTTTTTCCTTAAGATGATGATATTATAAAAACAAGGGGTTTCCATTTGAAAAAATGGACTTTTATCAATTCTTACAATTTAATTTTCGTCCGATTTTTAGAACACATTCTGTTAATAATTATCAAAATATCGAATGAAGTCCATTAAAGTAGACCTTTGTCTACAAGGGAGCTGTTACAAATCGTACGACAGAGACAAAAATATAGGAAACATTCATAGGCTTTTATGGTCCTGCATTTTTTATTTCCGCTGCAGTTCTACGTGGGACACCCTGTATATGCGAGAAAAGCCTTTGCCGATTTGCCTTGTGAATACTTAGTACTCTGATTTCTTGACTGGTCGACCATAGGGATGGCGCGTAGAACGTCGATGAGACTGGTAGGTGACGATCAGCAGATTTTTACTTGCGCACAATGTGAGTTTTTAAAAAGATCATACCCCACTATGTTTTCTTCCCGTTCGCCCGTCTCCAAGACTGGACCTATACCGCACTGATGAGTTGCCAGCGAGCACAAAACAACGCTGTCTGCTGTTGCTTATGGCACAGGCACAGAAAGTGAACATGCCCATTTCAGCCATAAAAAAACTGATATTACACATTTTTGCGACACTTCCTTCATATTCATTTTATCTCGGAGTATAGAATAAAGTTCATAAAAATTACGTTTTGCGTTTTGTCTACTGAAACGTCCATAATACAGCCAAATTAGTTTTAACTTTATCCGCCTAATATCCTGTTACAGGTACATGTACATCTAACATAATTTGAGACACATGTATGTCATTTCAAAGGAGGACGTGTCAAGAATTCGGAAAGTAGCCAGTTAACAAGTTGGCAAGTAGCGCGCAGTTTAACGTGCGGCCCTATAATAAAGGCATTAAGAAGTTAGAGAGACTATAATCAAGTGTTCTTAGCGTTGTAGAACGCGATATCCGGACATCCCCTATTGTACAGTCGACACCAGTGGCGTAACAAGCCCGGTATTTCCTCAGACACGCTTAAAACATTTTTTCAGTCTTGTACCGCTAGATAAGGAGTTGATAACAAATGGCGTCAGGTAGATTAACTCTGCACTTTCCAGGCAATGTTGTTATCGGTGCGTGAAATAATGCACCTATGTTTGGCACAAGCTAAACCCTCATAGAATAAAGTTGAATGGTTTCTCGCCAGTCGGCGTAGGAAGTTAGATACGCATCGACTCTCAAAACCTGCAAATATTTATCGACCTTGGCATCTTAGTAACCCTAAGCCAACATGTCATCAAAATTGGAGCGGTATTCAGTTTAGTTAAAAATGGAGAGACAAAAAGACAGACAGGTCTAATAGAAATGTGTGACATAGTTACTTGTGATGAACATTTCATGTAAGATTCAAAAAACCACTACAATACTTGTTCGCCAAATGGCGCGGGAGGTAAAATATTTTTTACAAGCTCTTATTGAACTTGCCGAGTTCGTTAGTATGTTAGTATGTGTATTTTTTGCACCGAAGAAGCCAGATCGCAAAGAAACTTTGTTAAGCCGACGTTTTGACTGCTTAAGAGCTCTTGTAGATTGTTTCATAATCTTGACACCCTAAGGTCAAAGGAGCGATCGTATCGGCCAGTTCTGGATGTACGAAGTTCGACACGATCAGGATGGGACGCCGAAGTAAGGAGGTTCTGTCTGGCAGGCTCATCGGGCGGCGGCAAGGGGCAAGGCCTATTGATGGATCGGGGTAGAAGGGAGCTAGTGACGTCAAACTAAATTTAATATAGCGGCCTCCCCAAGATGGCGTTTATAATTACCATAGTCACCCCTGCGATGTGGGCTTTATGAGAGAGACACAACAAGCATCGCGACATTATTCTAAATCCAATAAGCAGGCTACTGCAAAATAGGGACTTATAACGTCAATAGTCACCCCTATACTATGGCTATTAAATGGAAGGGCTTGATGAGGGAAACATAAAGATTAAAGTGACGTCAATTTAAATCCAATATGGCGACCGCCGATAAATGGCGATTTATAACTTCTATGGCCAGCGCAAAAATATGGCTATCAAATGAAAGGGTTTAATGTGGGAAACACAACAAGCAGATAACGTCATCCTAAATTCCATATGGCGATCGCCGCAAAATATCGATTTATCATGATATGATTTGTGTCTATAGAAATTTTATAGCACAAATAAAGTGAGTTTTATGGGGTCCTATTAATAAAATACCTTTGTCCGACTCTACCTTGTAACGGCAGCGTGCCTCTCTTAAGGTGGGTCCAGACATGCAACAAAACGCCGTGTAATAACACCGTCCCGCAACAACTATGTGTTACGCGTCTAAGTCACGGTGTGTACTTTTTTTCATACCATCGCGTATCTTCAAAGCAGAACATTCTGTCGTTCCGTTTTTCCTAGTGCGTTTATAATGGAAGTCGCCGCTGCTGCCTATATATTCATGCATTATTATGTTAAGAAGAATTAAAAAAAGCGAAGAGAAAAACGTTTTTGGCAGAGGCAGTTGTTCGTAAAAAGAAATGTGTACAGTGGAAGTAATTTGCTCATAGACTTGAAAATGAGCGGCCTCTACAAAAATTTCACCAGAATGTCCGCAACAGACTTTGAATATTTGATTAATTTGATTGGACCCAAAATATTACGAAAAGATACCAGCTGGAGAAAGGCAATTTCTGTACAAGACAGATTGGCAGTTACGCTTCGATTTTTGGCGACTGGTGATTCCTTTACAAGTCTTCAGTACCTCTTTAAAATATCTAAGCAATCTATAAGCACTATAGTTCCTGAAGTGTGTGAAGCAATAATAGAAGGATTACATGACAATATACAGGTAAAAAAATAAAGGTTTGACACAATAACTCTATATTTTAAACAAAATATTGCTTACATTAAATAAACTGTTGCTCACATTAAACATTTGCACTAACTACAAGCTCTGTAGTTCAATGTGGGACATATCCAATAACTCGTGTGGCGGGGATTGGAAATTGCTTGAATTTTGGCGAATATGGATGCTGTCTGCTTTAAATAAAATATTCATAATCGCTTGTTGTGTATTGGTCTGCAATTCAGGCGAATATTTAGCCAATTTTTTAGCCACAAGATTTCCAAATATCTGACATTCGTTGTGTCCTTCTGGGTTATTGGCGTTTGCTGATGCTTTTGACAGTATCTGAAAAGCTCTATCTAATTTATCAGAATCTTCACTTTTTCTTTGCTGTTTTCTAATTGGTGTTACATCCGTCAATTTTCTTTTCGGTCTATTATGTACGAGTATAACCTCCTGAGTCTCCTTCACAACGTCGTTATCTGTCAATGTTGATTCACCATCAGATACCTCATTATCATCTGTTTTTTCGTCTTCAATCTGTAATTAAATAGTAGTCCTAGTCATTTACAAGAATATTTACATTGCGATAGAAAATAAAGATATCAGTTATTTGTGGGCATATCGCGTAATTTCTCATGACACAATTTGTTCTAATTGTTGCAGATACCGACAACACCAGAATCATGGCTGGACGTGGCAAAGCAATTTGAAAAAACCTGGAATTTTCCGCATTGCCTTGGAGCTTTAGATGGAAAGCATGTGGTTATTCAAGCACCATGCAACACTGGAAGCGAATTTTTCAACTACAAATCTACGTTCAGCGTTGTTCTTTTCGCCTTAGTGGATGCTAATTATAATTTTTTGTACGTCAATGCTGGTGGCCAAGGGCGAATTTCAGATGGTGGCATCTTTAAAGATTGTTCACTTTACAAAAAACTAGTGAAAAATCAGTTGAATTTTCCTGAACCAGAAACTTTAAAAGGCATGCAACGGAAAATTCCTTATTTTTTCATCGGAGACGAGGCATTTGCATTCACTGATTCGCTAATGAAACCGTTTTCGGGAACGCATCTCAAAGGATCCGTACAAAGAATATTCAACTATAGATTATCTCGTGCTCGAAGAACTGTAGAAAATGTGTTTGGTATTGCTTCGGCCGTTTTTCGAGTACTCCGTAAACCCATGTTTCTTGAACCCGCAAAAGCTGAAATAATTGTAATGGCAATAGCTCATCTACATAACTTCTTGAGAAAAAGCTCTACATCTTCTACTTTGTATATGTATATGCCACATGACATGTTCGATACCAAATCACCTTTACCAAGAGCAACAAATGAAACAATGTCTTCTCTATTGCCACTTAAAAATATTCCCCGAAAACCAACTGATAACGCGAAAATAATCAGAGACGAATTGGCACTATACTTTCAAAATGAAGATCCACTTGTGTATCAAGATAATTATGCGTAACACAATACTTACGGTACTTTTTGTCTGTCGAACTTTATTTTTGTCCCAAAGAAACAGCAAGCTTTTGAAAGCAAACCAACTACTTTCATACACATCAGAACGACCTGCAATGAATATAATATGTTCGATATGTTAATAAGTAAATAAAATACATAAATAAAAAATATAATGTAATTATTCACATTTACCTGTTCCTGTGCCTTTGCTTTTTTTCAATTTTGCTTTTTCTCGCCTAAGTGCCGACAATAACACATTCATTTTCTTTTTGCATTCATCTATCGTGGTTTTAAATTCTACAGCGAGCTCATTCCAAGAATCGTTTTTCTTTATTTTATTATGATACTGGGAATTTTGTGGATCCCACAAAATTTCTTTGCTTCTATAACTGTTAATGAATTTAATCGTTACTTCTTCAGTCCACTCCATAATAAACCTGTCAGTATTACTCAAAACACAGAAACAAAGTAGATCGCACCTTTGTTACGCAGACCAGTCCAAACCTGCAATCCAGTGGTGCAACATCAGCGCGTATCGTTCCTTTGATGCGACACCAAAATACCGACATCTCGTGGGACGCCTCGATGTTACTATGTTGCGGGGTTACGTTGATACGCTCCAACGTCTACACTTGTAATGGCGGATTTCCACCAAACCGACTCGTCGAGTTGCTGTTTTGTTTCCGAATATGAAAACTCCGACAGACAACACAAAACAGCAACAAAACAGAACCAAATCAGAAACGCTGTTGCAACTGAACAGACTCGACTACAGTCCTAGTTGTGTGTACTATAAGTTGTCACTCCTTTCCACTAGGCAGACAGTGTTTTGTGTTGATCATGTGGCATGAAGATGATCTTTTCATCATGTTATGTGGATGGTTTATATTGCATTCTAAAGCAAAGAAAAGGAAAAAGCGTCGACAGCACAGGTACTGGGTGAGATCGCTGTTGACTACAAGAGAAAATAATGGCGCGGCAGAAATGCTTACTCAGTTGAAAACGGATGATTTTGGATTGCATGGCGAGTTGCGATCATCGTTTCATAATTTTGTGAGAATGTCCAGCACTGATTTTGAAAACCTGATAACTCTGATCGGCGCAAAGATTCGCAAACAAAACACAAATTACAGAGACGCTATATCCGTAAAAGACCGTTTAGCTATAACACTAAGATTCCTTGCTACGGGGGACAGCTATCAAAGTTTGATGTATTTATGTAAAGCATCTGCATCATCAATTTCACGAATTGTGCCCGAAGTTTGCAGTGCCCTATGCGAAGGTCTAAAGGATAATATAAAGGTAAGGCCACACTGTATATAGGATACTGCAACGAAAATATATTTTGACAAATAGTACGTACAGTAACTTAAGGTTAATTCTTTGGAAACATGTCCTGATTTGTATTATCGTCATGATTTGTATTCAGCCCAAAGGATGATGCAATGGCAACTTGTAAAACGTCATCACTCCAAGTTTGTTGTACTTCCGTCTCCGTCATTGCCGACTGGGTGTCAGATGATACAGTGTGAATGCTGTTAGGTGAAGGTGATGGCACGACGACTCGCATGGTTTCTGGATAATTGTAATAACCGATTCGAGCCTCATATAGTAGGTTATTTATTTTGTGTTGCACAGTAACTCTAGCATGTTCAGTTTGCAGATGTCTGATATTGCAGGCCACCATTTCCCCAAACACGTCGTATTCGTCGCGCCTTGATGTAGTTACTTGCCTGTTCTCAAATACTGACTTCATCATCTGAAAGACCTCCGTAGTCTCATTTTTGTCATCAGACTCAACACGTTTTTTCTTTCTTGAGCCAATTTTTGGAGTACTAAAAACATGTGGTTTCTGGGAAGCTTGTTTCTGAAAATATTCTGCACTTTCTGTATTCTCAACTGAAACATTTTTGTTAACTGACGCTGCAGCAGCGATTTTAGGCTCTTCCCTTGTATTTGCTGCAGGTGTGCCTATTTCCTCAGTTAACTGACATTCTGAAACTTCGCTTTCACTTTCATACTCATTCGTTGCTTCGGTTGTGCTTTGCATATCAGACTGGGTTTCTTCATCACCTTCATCTGACGAATCACTTCCCTGTAATTATAGAGTGCGCATTGAATTGGCTGAATTTCATAAAATGTGGGTTGTATAGTTTAAAATGAAGATTATTTTAGGAATAATATCAGTTGTTTGAAATCCAATATCAAGAAATCAGATATCGTGTCCTTTCGGGATTCTTCCTTCTTACATTTGATCATGGTCCTGAATTTTTTTGTTTTAAGGTTCCCGCAAATCCAGAGGATTGGAAAAAAGTTGCAAATGGATATAATACAATGTGGAACTTCCCGATGTGTATAGGCAGTATGGATGGAAAACATGTAATCATAGAATCCCCAAAATACAGTGGAAGTGAATTCTTCAATTATAAAGGGACTTTTAGTATTGTATTGTTTGCCATAGTCGATGCCAGTTACAATTTTATTTTTGTTTACGTTGGGTGCCAGGGCCGAATATCAGACGGAGGAGTTTTCAAAAATACTGGATTTGCCAAAGCATTGGAAAGAGATATGCTCAATCTGCCACAAAAGGCGGCACTTTCTGGAAGAGAAAAACTGGTACCATACGTCTTACTAGCAGACGATGCATTCCCCTTGTCACAAAATATAATGAAGCCGTATGCTGGGCACCAAGAACGTGGGTCAAGACAACGAATTTTTAATTACCGTCTAAGTAGAGCTCGAAGAGTCGTCGAGAACGTATTCGGAATACTAGCATCTGTTTTTCGGGTCCTTCGCAAGCCTATGTTACTAGAGCCGGACAAAGTGGAGAAAGTTGTTCAAACATGTGTTTTGCTGCACAATTATTTACGTAGAGATGTGGAATCGAAAGATAGATATACACCGCCAGGCTCCTTTGATTTCGAACACTTAGATTCTGGTACTGTAAGTGGAGGATTGTGGAGAAATGATCCGGAACCATGTCACTCACTTTTGCCTATAAGACGAATAGCAAGGAAACCAATTCAAGAAGCCCGAGAAATTAGAGACGAATTCAGCGAATATTTCATATCGGACTTAGGACAAGTACCATGGCAATCACAGTATGCTTAATTATTTGTTGTAAATTTTCTTAAAATGCTAGAGTTTTAAATAAACACAAAAAAAACAAAATACCTACTCACCTCCAATTCTACGCCAATCTGTGTTCCTTTCCTAGGTTTGTTTTTGTCGTGAAGGAAGCTCATGGCACTATAACCAAACCATTTTGCCTTGAAAACATGACCGGCTCCTGATTTTTTCATTTTTTTGTAACTGCGCCTTTCCCGTTGGTACTGGGTAATTAAGTTTTTTATTTTCCTCTCTATTTCATGTGGAGTTGTTTTAAATACATGAGCTATTTGTTTGTAAGTGTCCATTTTTTTCACTCGATTTTTATACTCCAGGTTTGTGGGGTTCCATAAATTTGGACAATCGCGATAAGTTTCTATTAAATTTCCCACTTCTTCTGTGGTCCACTTTTTCTTTTCTTCAGTCATATCCTGCAATTAACTGCTAGGTATTCAATAGCACAAATAAATTCAAACTGCGCACACTGCAACACACTACAACAGACTACAACAAAACAGAGACGCGTCGCAAGCTGTTTCCACTAAACCAACTGTGTTGCTAGTTGCGCGAAAACCCTTTGAAGTTACCGCCTTCGACCGGGACTTCGAAAACACAACAAAAACTCAACAAAAACAGTTGCCGGCGACTCCTGTCTACAAAATGTTGGTGAAAAGTTGCAGTTTTGTTGAGATAAACACGAGTTTCTGTTTTGTTGCTGTTTTGTCTGTTTGGTGGAAATCCGCCATTACGCAGTGCTGTTACGATACGGTGTTTTGTTGCATGTCTGGACCCACCTTTATGCGCCGTTCTGTGATGCAGACACTGCGTTAGCTTTACTCTGACAGTGGTGTCAGATGTTTCGTGTTTTAAAAATAGGCTTTCCAGGAAGTTCTGTTTTTCAATCCACGTGCTCCTTTATGCCCTAATGCGGTTAAGGTTTTGCACCCTATCTTCAAATTGACCTAGGCTCATATACTATGAGAACTATTCGTGATTTGTTCCTAGGTATCGGCAGGATATAGCGTTATTTTCAAGTCCGATTATTTAACTTCATTTTGGCGTAGAAAAAATTGTGACAGCTAATAATAGAAACTTTTTGCAATTTATTATTGATCGCAAGTTTTTCAATACCTGATAACGTCTACCCAGGAGAATCCATGTCACTCTGTCCGTCGGTTTGCTTGTCTACACGCGTCTGCTTGAGCCCGAAAATAGCTGCACCAGTCTTAATGCAATTTGAAGAGGGACATACAGTGATTATCAAACATGTCTCCCAATTTATTTTTTGGTACCTAAAATTCAGGATGATGAAGTTTATGACTATATTCTAGCGTGGATGTGATAGTTAAATGTTCCAAGATGGCGAAAAGGTGACATCTTGACTAGTTGTAAACAGAAGCATTGGATAAAATTGATAGAGCACGAAGTGATAAATCTTCAAAGCATGTCAAAACGTGAGTGAAATGCACGGACAGATTTCGGCAGGTGATGGTGACATTTATCAACGCGCAGCCACTCTACGCTATGTTCTACTTCCACTAGATTTCCGAGAGCTACATCATCATTGGCGACAGGATTGGTTTCATACGTGTACCCCCCTCAAAACTTAATCTCCTATCACTAGTCTTTGTAGATACTCTTAGTCTAAAGCTTGTTACAAGTACTTCATACAATATACAATTAGAATCTTTCAAAATGGCGAACTGACTGGCTGTCAAAGTTGAGCCTTTTTGTATATTGGATCGCTTATAACCCAACAACTAATTATCAAAACGGTATAGCATGTCAAATCAATCTTATTTTGTAAGGGACATTCCGCTTAAAAAAGTAACAGATTTTTGACATTTTTTTAAACGGAATGTCGCTTTTTTATCTTGAAGTTTTAAACTGCTGCTTTAACATTAAAATATAGTGTTGACGCATCAATTTTGTTACTCCGAATTTCAGCCTGCTGGAATGACCTGTCCAAAACTCTATGCAGTGTTGCCCAATCGAATGTCAATATTTGAAGTGTCGATTTTTGAGTCCATTTTATATCAACGTATGTACTAAACGTCGTAACGTTTGAGATAACAAATCATTTATTATTATTAATATCGGTAAATGAGACTAAAGATATTTTAATGAAATTTAGTACACATCTGTTATGTATCATCAGACAGTGTCGTCCGTACAGAATTTCACGTGCCTATGTTGGCAGATATTGATTTATCTTAAAATAATAATAT